CTGCTACTGCTACTGCTGCTGCTGCTGCTGCTGCTGCTGCTGCTACCGCTACTGCTACTGCTACCGCTACCGCTACCGCTACTACTACTGCTACTGCTACTGCTGCTGCTGCTGATGCTGCTGCTCCTGCTACTGCTACTGCTACTGCTACTGCTACTGCTACTGCTACTGCTACTGCTACTGCTACTGCTGCTGCTGCTGCTACTACTACTACCACTACTGCTGTTGCTGCATATCGCCATAGGAGCATTCGTCCCCGTTTCAGGGATGTAAGTTTTGAGTAATTGGAGTACTTCCACGGCAGGGCACGTCGCCCCTATGACGAAAGCAGAGCAGCTGTAACTCATGACGCTGCCCACCCTTCACAAACCCCGAAAGATTGAAAAATAGCATAACCCTCAGACAGGTTTCGAGCCTCGGCTGTGCGTCCTAACCCCACTTCTGAAGACGGGCAGGTGGATCACGCGCGTGTGGTGCAGCAGGCCCTGCTTCTTACAAGTATATTCCGAGGGCTTAGGTTGTTGACACGGCTGCCTTGCAGAAATGTAGCCTTGGCTGACTGTGGCTTCGTGAGGCCTTTGCCTGAACTAGTGTATCAACCTGCAGTCTTCGGAGATCACCTAGTCGCCGAGAATCATCACAAACCGTTGGGAGAGGAATGCTCGAATCTCTAGTCCCCAGACACGTGTTTTTTCCAGCTCTAGTGTTATGGTACTGCTGCTAGCAGAGATTCTGGAGTGGTGAACCTGTCCGGGTGAAGCAGACGCCTGGCAAAGTGCTTTGCATGGCGTGACAGCATAGCGGACAAGAACCTGCAGAATACCTCAATGCAGACTGCTCGAAGTCGTCGATTTTCTAGCATGCTACAGTGATTTCTTGGAGCACTTTTGGAATTGCCAGACACCACCTTCCGGCAATTGAGTCTGCTGCAGTACCAGCCCCGGATAGGTTCGAAAGCTCGGACAGCTGCCGCTCATCATGCCCTACATGAAGCAGGCGAGAGCGCAGAGGGTCGTGTGATGGGGGCGAAGAGCCGAATAAGCTATGCCTGCAGGAAAGCTTCCTCAACATGTAATGGAGTTCTCGAATATTCAGAACCCTACTAGATCAAAGTCTGGTTTTGAGGAATGCCCCTTAACATGCTTCAGCAGGGACACTTTCAAGCCCGAATTCTCAACCCATGACTCATGACTCTACAAACCTGCAGCACACTCTAAACTCAAGCCAAGACATGCAGAGCCGATGCTGTCACCAGGTGCAGCAGCACAACATTGCGCCTGTCAACGAGGCAGGATTCGACAAAGCAGGAGCTCCTCACGTTCAAGGTTTCGAGCAAAGTTGAGAATGTAGCCGGCCTCTTACGTGACAAGTGCTGGGAGATTTTCTGAATCACCGCTTCGTGCGGGGCACATGAGCATTCGTGAGCATCCCCGAGAAAGGAGACTCTTGCTCAGAAGCTACAAGGCCACCTAAGGTAAAGTCTCCACACTCTACACTAAACTAGCTCAACAAAGACTAAGATTGCATTTACAGGCCATCAATGAGCTGTACGTGGATGGGGAGCAGTATGAGGAGCTGAGGCAGAGCATCGAGGAGACGGCAGGGTTCCGTCTGTTTCGTAACAGTGTATGTTGGACGGTGAACGGCATGCGAAGCGAAACAACTGTATGGAGACACGCCGTGCAAGTAGTTCCACGGCGAAGAGCCAGGAGATGGTTGCGAAGAGCCATTCGGGGTCTTATGCGGATCGGAGACGTCCTCTTATGCTTGTATAAGGGCTTGCGACAAGGACGATTCCAAGCTTGACGGAGGGCTGGTTTGCCTTTAATTTAGTCTGTTCCAGAGCAACTTGCAAGGATTCTCTTCCGGAACTGAGGCAGAGCAGAATGTTAAGCTCTCTCTAAGGGGGTGAGGCGGGTGAGGCTCGGTTCCCGCAGCTGTCTCCAGAGAGCGTCCCACCAAGTGGAGCTCGAGCCGTCCTGATACCGACAAGCTGCCATCATCTGGCACAGTCAGAGTTGCTTCCCACCCACGAGTCCTCAAGCCACAAGGCCCCAAGATCTTGACCCAACACCCTCACCCCGACAAAATCCTCAAACCCTAAGTCGTGGGACACAAGCCAGAAACGCATGAGAAGCCATGGCACATCGCTGCTCCACGCCGTTAAACCAGACTTCACTGGGTGACTTATTTGCTTTCTCAAGTTCAGGATGGCGGGAGTTGGCATCAGTCTTGGAATGTTTCACTAGGCGAGGTTCATAGTCCGTCGGTTTACCCTGGATTCTGAATCTGTACGTGTGACACAGCAACATAAGGGGCGACGTTTCGGGTGGAATCAGTCCGAACTTCGTATTGATGTCGCTGAGCGCCTGAGGTTTCAGGGAGACAGTCTTGCCGTCATGGCCCGAACGTTCCCACTCGTCGCGGTCATCTTGCATGATTGGCCCACTCGAGCACTGGAATCTTTGGCATCCCGTATACCCAAGCTAAAAGTCGCGGTATACACTGGAAACATGACGAACCACAAAGCAGCTCAAGCACATTCGCGGCTGTTTTCATTGTCGTCATCCTTAACACCCCTATCATGATGATGACGGCGTCGATGATGATACTGATAATGATGATGATCATAAGGTATCATGAGGAAGATGGTGAGGATAGAGAATAATATGATGGTTATCACCACCACCACCATCATCACCAGCATAACCACCATCATCATTACCACCACCACCACCATCACCATCATCATCATCATCACTTTTATCATCATCCTTATCATTCTCATCCTCCTCCTCATCATCATCATCATCACCATCATCATCATTATCATCATCACCCTCATCTGTTGATGACGATGGTGTGCATCTTCAGAATCAGCAGCTCTTGCCTCCATAAGTGCTATTGTTTCGGCCCGTGATTGTTGTCATTCTTGTTTAGTGGTGTAGTGTAGTGTAATCCACAACATCTTCTATCATCGTCTATGTTCTCCATGCTTGTATTCGATCTCGAGCTTCTATGCCTATGCCCCTGCGAAGCGAATCTCAGGCGAGTTTCTTCGGACATTCCGAAGACGTGCCGGAGAGCGTGGCATCACAGGAACACCACTACCAGTGCAAGGGGCTTTTTTGTACCGAAGTTCATAGTCTTCGGGAGAGCAAGCGGATCGATGTTTTGCGGCTTGAGGCTTCAGATTTTGAGCCTTGGATCTTTGACTACTCGACGGTTCCGGCAGCGCGTGAGGCCACACGTCGTCAAAAGAAGCAGACAACCAGACAGCTCACAACTGCGACAGTCTGATTCCTCAATGCCAGACGCGAAGGTCCTGATTGAAACTGTTTGAGGTTGCCAATCACTGCCCAGAGTGGGCCACGACTCCCAGCCCCAAAGTCTTAGCCATGAAAAACCGTAGGACGAAGTGAGCCCTACAGGAAATCTTGAACCCACAATCAGCCGCACAACCGCGAAGCGGACCCTTGCCAGAGCCAGGGCCGTGTGAAATCATTAACGTCCTGGCCCGCGCGGCCTGGGATCTACCTCTGCCCTCACCGTGGCGAGAGGCCAGAGATGTTCTCGAGCTCGCGTTTGGGAACGGTTTGCTCTCCTCTCTGAACTTCTCATTTCCTTAGTCCTTTTGGAGCGGTCTGCTGACTTCCCTGTCCAAGCTCTCTTTTGAAAGTTGTGCTTCCCAAAGGTTCGCTGCTCTCGTTCTCTCAACTTCTCGATTCCATTTCGAACCTTAACCCAAAATGCACAACTGTTCAAATCCCTTTCGAGGTTCTGCAGCCCTCCTCAAACCTCTCTAGTGCTTTCCTACGCCTTGCTCCATTCCTTAACCTTTTGCGAGGGTCCGGAACCACAGGCTGTAGTTTATCAAGGCTTTTTCATATTAGGCCTAAAACATCATGTTGTCACATACTTGGCGAACTTCGTCCTTGTTTGTTTGTTTTTTGACTTTATTTGCTTTTGTTTGTCATTATTTGTTTTGAGATTTTGATTTTGATCATTTTTTGTGTTTTTGTGATTGATTCAAATTTCGGTGCTGGCGGCTTCTTCCACCGCTGCCCCCGATGATAACGACAAGGAGGCCAGGCTGCATAAGTGTTGGTCCCATGAAAGTCATCATCCAGTGTAATGTAGCCAGTAAACAAAAATTAGTGGTGTGATGCTATATCAGTCAATTTCAGTCTTTCAATGCCTGTCTGATGCCCATGGCTGCTTCAAGCGGAATCTTGTCCATTTCTGCCGACGATGATAACGAGGACCTTCATCTTGGCAGCGATCACTGGAACGAAGTCTTGCGACAACTTCGATGGAATTGTGTCAACTATGACAGAGAAGTTCGCGAATAAACTGGGTCAATGGATGAAAGAGGCAGAGTACCAGGTCCAAGATTTCGGAGCTCTGGACATGAACTTGCACAAAGCATGGAGTGGCCAGACAGCACCGAAGCCATGCCAGCAAGATGTCGGGACGTGGCCCATGGATGATGTTCTGATTTACGACCATTGCGAGTGGCAGCTGTTTGTTGGCAGTCTTGTTTGTCCACTTGTCCAATCCGATTTTGCAAGCTCCGGGTAAAGCCTGAGATTGCCATCGCTATGAACAGAGATGACAGATCTCGGCCATGTGAGCCATGGGACTGGTATGAGCATTTGGCGGCATGTGGATGCTTTGCCTTCGTCACTGTCTCTGCCTGAAAATAAAATTTGGGCCAACTGCTGTTGGCACTCTGCCTTTGGCTTTGTCACTTTGCCTCTCAGAGATGTTGAGCTGCCTCCGCAGCAGTTGAAACAACAGCATGGGCCACTCCAGCAGGAGGCCACTCTGGCTCGAACTCACTGCTATCGTTCTCATCTTCCACTGTCTCATCCACGAAGGCATTCCTATCATTGGGGTCCTCCCCAAACCGAAGAAGAGACATCTTAAAGTAAGTCTCCCCATTCTCAGAAATCGGTCCGCAGAATTCACAGGCCGCTCTGGCCCACCCCTCCTGCAAGGCTTTCAACCATTTGTTCTCGGTCATGCTTTCGACCCCAACAGCGGCCAGCTCCAGATTGTCGGCGCCTGTGGATCGATCCTGAGCTCCTGGCTTAGAAGTTCAGGCGAAACAGCAGCTTGAAGTTGTTACTTGATGATCCCAATAAGATGCACACAGTGCCAAAGCATCAAAGCCTGTATAGACTTGAATCTGGGTGGAGACGTGTAGCGATCGAAAGCCGCTCTTCTGTCCTGACGCAAGCGCCAATGCTTGTCCCTGTTTTGGTCGGGGCCCGGTTGTGCCCAAGAGCCAACCCCATCATAGAAGAAGGATGCACGAGCCTGAAGGGAGACATTCAGTCAAGCAAGAAGCACTCGAAATCAACACAGACATGTTAATTTTGATTTTGCTTGTCATTACACAGCCCCCTGCCTCATAGCAGTCCTGCATGGGAGCGTAGTATGCGGCAACAATTTCGTTCTTCAGCTTTCCCTTCCCCTTGCCCGTGCCCTTGCCCTTACCCACGCCCTTACCCTCGCTGGCACTCTGCCTTCCGCCCGTGCTGGCACTCTGCCCTCTGCTGGATCCACCCTTCCCGATGCCTTTGTTCGTTGGATGGTCACCCTCCAAAGCCTTGGCAACTGTCATAGCCCTTTCAAAATCTGCGACAGAGCTCATGGCTAAGGACAAAACCAGTAACGGCTCGGCTAGCCACTACTTGACGCTTGGTGAATCAAATTGCTGCGGCAATACAGGCAAGAATGAGCACACACACACACACTCACGCAGGGCACTGGAAACTCAGTTTTGAAGTCACTTGCAATGCCTGAGTCACCGGCTGGATTCATTCATCCAATCGACCCAGTGGCTCTGTTCACCATGTCGGCACAGCCCGCGCGCGAACTGACAATTTCCACAGCCAAGACTGGCGTGACCTCACTTTATTTGTTCAACTCAGTAGCTCAGGCAGGTATTTCAAATGAAGCTGTGACTTGCAGCTGAAAGTGGTGATTCACCTCCATCCAGCAGTCCAGTCTCAGGTCCAGGATTTCGGCTGGGCCAGTGTCGGGACACATTTCGACCTTACGCACTTAACTTACCTTGTCAATGATCAACGTCTGTAAGTGTGCAGCTCCTCTTGCTCTTGCAATTCCAGAAATGCTTCAATCATATACTCACGATCCTTGAATGGAGCGTAGAAGCCTCGGTGCTGGATCCACCGGACTGGCAATGGCGCTTTCCATAGTCATCGACGCAAGTGCCATGACTAATGCACAATAAGCACCGCAGGTCCTGTTCATGCCACCATAGCAATGGAGAGGCACATGAATTGGCATTCTCTGGCCGCCATTCTTACAGAAACCTCGGCCGTCCTTCATCTTGTCCAATATTGCAAGAGCTTGGGCTAGCTCACGAGCCACTTGCAAACCAATGGCGCTCTGCCTTGCATCATCGGCTGTGCTTCTGGCTTTGCCGATGCCCTCGAATCTCTTTCCCAAGGTGCCCTTGAAGCCCTTGTCATTGGAGCCTTTGAAGTAGGTCTTGCTGATTGCCTTGCCGTTGCTGGAGCAGGCAGAGACGCTGCTGACGTTGCGGTCCTTCGACACCTTCTGATCTTGTGGCGGTGGTAGCCCTTGGCCTTTGCTGACCGCCTTGCCTTTGCTGCCGTTCTTGCCAGTCATGCGACTTTGGCCCTTGGCACTCTGCCTTTGGAGGGACTCGTCGTATTCACGGTGCAAGCAGAGTGGCTTTGGCGACTGCCTCTCCTCACTTCGTTCTCAGTATGTATTTCTAGTTATACTGCCTCTTGCCTGCCACAACAGTCTATCATCTGAAGTACTACCTTTACCTAGCTGTGGTGCAAAACCCCAATAGGTCAGAATTACTCTTGTTGTTGTGGAAAAGCCCACTGCCAGAGTTCTGATGACGAATGTTTGCTGCAGAAGCAAAACTGATCGAAGAATTGCCGATCGTGAGTGGGCCAGCTTTATCTGAGAATTCATGAATGCGAGTTCTGAGTTCTGTTGGTGAGTGGTGGATCAGGATGACAGTGCCTGTGCATAAGAGTGCGCTTGGGCAGGCTTTTTGGAAACATGTTCGATTGGGCAACCTGCTGTGTGAGCTACATGAGACGAGTTTGATCAAGGGGAGGTTTAATTACAAAACACACCCGAAAACTGTTGGGAGCAACATGATTCAAACTGGTGTGGTCTGCCTGAAATTCACTGTGAAGGGTGGACTGCCGGACTCGGCAGACACTACCCGATGGGTCCGTGTGGACTGGACATACATCGGTCATGGACAGAATCGTGACTCGATGCTGGGAGTCATCCGCCAACCGGAATTCTTGAACATTCTTGAGATTTGAACCATCTCAATATTTCAGAGGACGAAAGGCGGAGTGCCAAAGTCCTGGAACGCGAGGAGATCGCCCAAGAAGCTCTGAAACTGATGGAAGGCCGAGTGCCAGAGGAAGACCATCCGACAGATCAGGTGCACGTCATTGTCAAGTTGCACAGGCATCTGCAGCCAGATGAACGGCAATGTGGAAACGTGTTCGACTGGGAGATTTTGAAATCTCGACGGTGCACTCCAGTTTTTCCAGTTTTTTCTCTCCCGCTGGCTTTTCAAGTTGATGCTTCGATGACCCACCACCACGCCACAATGGCAGCCGTGACCAAGGGGGCGGGGCCCATTGGGGCAAGTTCCTATACGGCCGACTACAGAACACAAGGAAATACCCGGAGAGAGAGACGATGCTATTGGTATTCAGGGCCTCAAACATATTTTGGACTTCCAACTAGCTTTAGTCCCTTTCGCACAGCTTGCTCCACTTTCTCAGCTTCGCTCTTTTCGAAGGGTTTCTGTCCGTCCTCTCAACATTTTAGGTGCTTCCGTAGTCATTTTGGACAGGTTGTTGGGATTGACCAGGTTTTAAAGACAACTTTCCCGATCGAACGGTTTGCTACCTGTGGTTGTCTGTTCCCATGGGCCCTCTGAAGTTGTTCCACGCCCTCTGCCAACTTCTGTCACAGTTTGGCTCCCTTCGCTATCAGCTTCTCCACTGACGATCGGTTTGTTCACAGTTCGCTGTCTGTTACAGGAACACAGTAGTGGCCCAGGAAAGCGCTCTTGGTATCAACTTTTATGATTCCTTTACACCATTCTTTCGTTTTTTGTCTCGACGTTTCACTTACCTTTCATCCCAGCTATTCTGTGGAACTACTGCACCTGTTCCGTTTCGAAAGGTTTTGCTGCTCAACTTCTCTCCCTCGCTTAGTTTATCTTATCATTTTCCCTGCTTGTGGGTTGCAGTTTGGATTCTGTGTTGGCATCTCACAAATTTGATATAGCATCCTTGTAAGATATGGGGCCAAGTCGGTCCTGACTGCACTGACGGCTTGTGGATTTTAGGTTGACCGGTTTTGGATATTTCCGTTTGCCCTTGGGTTGCTCTCTCGCGTGATCAGGACCACTGCGCAGTGCGTCTGAACATGCAGTCCCGACGACCTGCCAACCGATTGTCCTCTGAAGCCTTGTCAGGAGATACTGCCCAATCATACGTTCTGAGAAGTGTTATACGGCCATGCGCATTCAGCATGACAAGATAAGCCTGAACCCTCAAAGTTTGGAGGGCGCATGCCGCACAGGAAACCAGCAGTACCGGAGCAGTTTACTTCTGGAACGAAGTGCGGGGGGCCGCAATGTGGCAGCATCCGCTCATGGAGGCCGGATTTCTAATTGTTGCCGAGAATTGAGATCCTAATACCTGCAGTCTGATCGTTTGAACTGATAAACCCTGAGCCCCGCGAACTTTGCCCCCACACCTAAGCGGGGCGTCGGCAGGCTTTTCTCTCAGCTTTGGAGTCGATGGTGGAAGTGGTTCGGGCAGCTCGGCGCGGTTGGTGATCAAGGTCGTCCCTTCACACTGCCTGTCTTTCAACCTATCCCCATCCCTCTGCGTAGAAATGTCAGTTATCCTCACACCTGCCGTAGCTTGGTCCCTACATGGAGTTTGCACTTTCTGCAAGCCGCGAAGCTGAAGGAATCTGCTTCAATCTCGGACGTCGTGGTGGCGCTGGCTGCCCACTTGAAACTCGAGCATTGTGATGGATTTAAAGCTCTTCGGGCGAAGCTACTGGGGCAAACAGGGCACATGTAGTCAGTTCAGGTGCCTTTTTTCCGAAGAGTTGGCATAGTCTTGTCATGCATCGAGTGCAAAGAGTTGCCAGTCATGAGATCACAAGTTTGAGCTCCCACTCACTCTCAGTCCTCAAGCCTCAAATCTCCATGCAAGACTTGCAACAGGTTGAGCTCAAAGATCCGGGTGACTCTCGTAAGCTCAGGAAAGCCAGCGATGAGGTCGCCGCTGCTAAACTAGAAGGCCTCTTGATCGATGAGATAAGTTGAAGCCAACCTTGAATCCCGCAACCGCCGCTTTTGACGTGCATGGTGTTGCCAGTAAGTTCGGGTACTTGAACCATCCGAACGAGCTATTCATTCTCTGTATCTGTGCCTACCAAGCCTTTGCAGTTCTTCAATCATCTTGGACCAGACGGCCTCCCAGGAAAGCGGCGCTAATTATGAGAAGCGTGAAACAGTCGATGGGATGGGGTCACGGAGAGTTGAAGGTCGTCGAAATCTTATAGATTTTCATTAAGTAAGCATCTGCTGTCCCCTCAGGAAGCAGCCTCCGAGCGACCACCCACTAAACGGCTTCTAAATCTTGACCACAAGAAAGGATTCTTTGCAGACTACATGCATCCGCCTAATCTTCAACCCCAAACCGGGCTTTCGGATCTTACACCTTCAGTTCGATGTTTTTGGAGTGTTTCCGGTTTTCTGTCTCAGGGCCGTGCAGGATTTCACTCCAAATTCCCGATCTTCCCCCCTCCTGCCTTCTGCCAAAGAACCTCAGACCGTGTGAAGCGGATCCGATGCAATGGTCACCATGCTGAGATGTTCGAACTTTGCTTTTGTTTTAGACCGGTAGTGTTGGAGTTGGAGTTATCCATGACCAGGGCTCGTTTGTACCCGTGTGAGATAGGCTTATACTGATACAGGTGCAAGATCGTTCCTCTTCAAGTTTAATTAAATCTACCTAAATTTCTTACCATGGCGCTCGTACTTTTGGTTGTGGATCCTACACGAAGTTTGGGTAGACAATCCCAGTGCAAGTTCTGGAAGCTTAGAATTCGCATGTCCTAAGCGCTGAGCCATTGCCACTGCATCTTTCCACCCTGCCGCGAGGCTGGTCCAGTCATCTGCAAGGCCGGCTATGCTTTCTGTGCCTGAAAGTCTTCAATCTCATCATCATCCAAGGTCTTCTCAACATGAAGCTCTCAGCTCCAAAAGAAACTGTGCGCCACAGAGTTCGGGGTCCAACTTCCAGAGGTTTTTCCTACAAGTGGTCTCCTGTTGTAGTACGTATTTCTGTATAAATATGAAAACCTCCACCCGCCCACACCCACATCTACACCTACACCCACACCCACACCCACACCCACACCCACACCCACACCCACACCCACACCCACACCCACACCCACACCCACACCCACACCTACACCTACACCTACACCTACACCTACACCTACACCT